ACCCTTTTTATTCAATACCTTACAGTAATTCCCATCTTCCCATCTTTAAAACTTGAAACTAAGCTAATATCTTGAAAGATGCCATCGTTCTGTAGACGTTTTCCAATGTTGACTTCTAGTAGTGTCATAGACCCCTACGCAAATCTTATTGCCCGTATGGTACCAAAACTGAAATGCTTCAACTTTTTTTTTAATGTAGGTGTTTTCACGCACCTATCGACCAAATTTAGAAGCAGGCTGCTAATACCGTTTGTCAGGGCCAACCCAGACTGAGATGGATACAACATTCTAGCAGACAGACCCAGATACATGATACATAAATGTACAAACTTTATATTCTTGCAGCTCGGGAATCGAACACGGGCCTTCTGCGTACGACAGCAAAACGCCTCCTAACCGCTACACCACAGACACCGGTTCAACACTTCGTGTGCAACACAACCATTTGTAAAGCATATATCCTCACTCTACAGCAAGCTCTATGCGTTCGTTTTACACTAGATATAATGAAAGGAGATGCCATGCATGAGGAAAAGGAGCCACGTTGATTCCTATTCTTGAAAAGCTTTAACTTACTACCGGGTACTCCAAGTGGGTGGTTGGCGGGTGCTCTGGTGTGGTTTGCTTCTTCTTTCCCATGAAACATCTATCATCCATATCTCCCCTTCTTTTTTTTATGTTTGTTACTCTCTTGTAACACCTCTAATCTTCTGGCGCTCATATGACCTTATGCAGTTGCGAGCACCGTAAAACCTTTACTAAAACTAAAATGGGTTCCCCATTAGCCCTACAAGATGAGACTGAGGGACCACAAAGGGAAATCCTGCGGGGCCCCTACTGTATCAGACGCCATCAAATTTAGTGTCAAATATGCCAAGTGCACTGGGTATAAGGAAAATGCAGCATACATCAGAGACACCACAGTGACATCAGTTAACTGTAGCTTAGTGGTTAGGCTACTAGACGTACCCATAAGTGTGAGATTGCCGGTTTGGGAGTTCGAGCCTCAGCTCTGTCCGACGTTTTGTCCTTGAGAAAGACACTTTAAACACATTTTCCATTTGGCTCGATTCTTTCGAAGATGGACTGTAAACTCAGAGACCCCGCCTCTTGAATAACCTACCGTAATAGTGTTGATAGGGGTGTAAAACCTATACCATATCATTTTCAGAGACACCACCAAAAAGAATCTAACACCTAGTCTTCTCAGATAAGGTCGAAGAATTTCTATCATCCCGAGTGAAAGTTCTCCTAATGCCTTGGCGGTTCTAAAATTGAAAAGTTAAAGAGTAGGCCTTTCGTGCTGTCATCCTGGCAAAATTCAAATTAATTCCTGTCCAATAACTGAAGCCATTCTAGTCAGCAGTCAGTATAAATGAGTAGAGTACTTTCGAAAACGGCACATAGCTGCCTTCCAGGCAAGGGATGATTTTACATTCTCTACAAAAAACGCCATGTACGTAAAATCAATGCACTGTGAGATGAATATCTTATACATGTAGTACAATGTAGTTAGTTACTCCCGGATCTCTAGAAGGAGAACATGAAGAAAAAGGAGACTCAAAAAACTGTGCGAGTGTGTGAGAGTGTGAGTGAGTGAGTGAGTGAGTGAGTGAGTGAGTGAGTGAGTGAGTGAGTGAGTGATTGAGTCCGTGAGTGAGTGAGTGAGTGATTGAGTCTGTGAGTGAGTGAGTGAGTGAGTGAGTGAGTGAGAGAGTGATTGAGTGAGTGAGTGAGTGAGTGAGTGAGTGAGTGAGTGAGTGAGTGAGTGAGTGAGTGAGTGAG